ACATGTTTTTATCCTATATCTTCCTGTTGACAATAAACATGTTGTTACTATAATCTTTTGCAGGTGCACTCTAAAAACAACAAAGCATAGGTATTCTCAGGACAGATAGAGGGAGCTGTATCTCCAGTTTTACTCTTTAAAGAGACAGCTATAAACAAGGTGTCAAGTTTAAATTTGCAAACATAAAATAAATAAAAAACCCTCCAGCTTTTGACAATTACAACCAATCAAATTAGGCTTTAAAAGCATTGGGGGAAATATAATTTGCCTAAAGATCAAGGTACAATGAAAAAGTTTTATCTTTTATGAATATATGTCAGTATGGTAAGACATTCGAGCAACTGATCACTTGCTTTGTTTTTTTAACTGTGGTTTCCCATGAACAATAATTTGCCCCTTTTCCTGTCTTACTGATGTAATAGCAGTATTGAAAAACATGGCACGTCATCAGTAAAATATGTTAAGAAAAGTATTAAATAGCATTAATTTCAATAAAGTTGGATGGACAGGTATTAGAGTTTTCTGAAAAAGAAAAGCCCTTCCCTCTCATTCACCCTGGGATAAGCTTACAGAGGATTCAGAAAGGTAAACACAATTCTACCTGCAAAGGAGAGAGAGGGAAAAATATAGAGAGCTGGATTTAGAAGCATATACGCCTTCCCACTATTACCTTTGATTATGCACTAGAAACCATGCTCTGCATCCATGTACAGAGATTGAGCTCTCCCACTGCTATTGCTTATCCCCAAACAGGTAAAATTAGGCAATGAACAGAAAAAGTAACAGAATACTGAATATAGGAAATTTTGTTAAAATTGGATGTCAGCCTCATAAATTACATGTTTTTTCTGTGTTCAAAGTTCAACTTTACTTCTTGTTTCTTACTTTTCAAACAAACATGTTTCTCTTCTGTCTTCTACAGAGACTGGGGAGAAGGGGAAGGGAGGAAGTTGTTCTATATTAAATGAAATACTGTGCCAGATTCACTGTAGCACTGCAGTCTTAACCAACCCACAAAATCTTGCTTTCCCTCCTGTATACCTCAAGTGTAAAAAGGCCTCCACATGTGACTATGCTTCTGAAAGAGTTACAAAAATAATTGCATATTTTTCTAAGTTACAGATTAGTTTTAAGCAACTGCTATATGAAAAAAAAAAAAAAAATGTATGGCTATAAAGACCGACTTCCATACTACACTAAAAAGTGTTTGTAATCCTGATGTATATGGTCCTAATCCTATTAAAGCGCCCTTCCTGGAGATATCTTGGGGCACAAAAAAGCAGCTCTGAACCCTTTCATTACTTTTGCTAGAGATAAAGATGTTAAGTAAGATGGGCAGCACCAAACTGATTTATAAGTTCATTACTTCTCTGTTTATTCAAATTCATCTAATTTTTCATCAGTGCTTTTGTACAGTGATACTCCAAGCAATGCGTCAAGACTGATATCCAAGTTATTTTAAAATTTAAATTAATCAAATAAAATCATCAACAATTTGCGTCTAAGACTGCTTATTGTAATCATCCCACCCCTGCACATCACCTTTCCTCAGGGCACAGTTCCTCACACTTCCCCCCTCACTGTGCTGTTACACTATTTAGGAGCAGAAACTCTCCAGTTAACACCATGTCTTCTCTGAAACAAAGAGTAATATTAGAGCAATTACATGAATCATTAACAATCATACAACTGCTACTCTAGAAAGTAGTATGCAAGAAGTGCTGACACAATACTTGCTACTAGAAAAGCTATTTACTAAGAGTGTTCAATGAAGTCAGTATTTTTCCTGTTTGTACATCAGGAATCCCCTTCTTCCAACTTCCATCTATCAAATATTTCAATACAACTGTACAAAAGCTAACATTTGAGACTGGGATTCTTCCAAGTCAAGTGGCAGCAGATGCGACTATAGAGGACTATTGAGAAATTACTCAAGTGTAATAGTTAAAAAACCCACAACCCTGAAGAAAGAGATATTAATTCCTTGTATTACTTAAAAACAGTATGATTAAGCCTTTGCATTCTGAAACAATGAAACTGATTCTTTTTCTTTAGTAAACAACAGGGAAGTAATAATTACTGGTAGGCAGTCATATGGGCTATAAATGCAGCTAATTGTGCTCATAGTTTAAAATGGTATTTTTTAAAAGTACTATATTGTTACTAGAAAAACCTTATTCACAAGATAACTGTGTCTAGTTTTCAAATCATTATTCTATGTAAATCTCTTCACCAGGTAGGTATTTTCAACAGCATATCAACTCCTTACATTCACTTGGATTAACTAATTAAATCTTATTTTCTAATAATTTCAATAGAAAGTATGTTTACAATGTGTAAGAACAGTCTCACAGCTGTTTTTTATCCTTCCTAAAATTTTTCCACAACTTTCTGAAGTACTAACATGAAAAGATATATACTTCAGCGATACGCTCTGCACGCACACCATGTTGGGCAACACCATCGTCTCTTCACAACTACCACTTGATACTCTCTACAAATATTCCACATTTTGCATGTTGCTACTATTCCTATCATGTACAGCACCTCAGTATTACCATATTCCTTGTAAATATGGTCTACTATCTTTTTTTTCTCTGTTGATAGATAATCTTGCATTTAGCTGTATTAAAATGTACATGGCTCAGGTTCAGTGGCAAGTTTTTAGAAATTATATACAATTTGTATTTTGACAGTATGACTTGGTTTTCAGTGAGACCAATTTTCCACCAGATACCATCTCCTTCATAAAAAACATTTTTGATTACGGTAAAAAAATGTTTAGTGTTACTAACACGTCACATGTATCATTTTAAGAAAATTTAAGATCTACTATGTAGACATGTGTCCTGGTAAGAACATAAAAACGTAATACACTTCACATAACATACTTTCACCTACTAAATGAAAATGAAATGCTTGAATATACAAGAATACTTTGACTAAATATAACCACAGGTTTTTCTGGAAGAAACAGAAAATTCTTTTTTCAGGCAAGCAGAGGTTAAAATTCCAGGACTCTCCATACCACAGTTTTAAAGCTGAAAGTGAGGAGACCCTGAGAGAAGAGAAACAGATCCTCTAAAGAGGAGAACTCAGCAACTGATGAACTGCCATGGCAGTGCAACTCCAGCCTAGAAGTAAAGTCTCCTACTTTCCCTGAGGGAGTGAGAGTATTTACAAAAAATTATATATAGTGTTCAACTATCATAGGAAACTGTGCCATGGAACTTACATGTGAGAACTGTGGATCTTAAATGTTGTTTTAAGCATAGGGACTTTTCATGATTTCATATGATTTCTGGGATACTGATACTTCTGCTATAAGTGGATTGTCTTTCCCTGAAGTGTGTTCCTGAATGACGCACAGCATGGCATTACAACTCTTCTAAGCCTATGCTGGAGGCACAGTTTTTCCAACCTACTATTGGAGTACATTTCAGTATGGAATCTTAGCTAAAATAACACTGGCTATTTATATTTAATCTTTGGTTGAAAAAAATATGTATTTAAGATAAAGTCTGTTGTCTCTAAGATGTCAACAGTGAGTAATATTATCTGAAGTGAAATGTTCTATTTAATATGTAATAGCAGGTATAATGAAACTAGTGGAAAAATATTGAACTTTCAGAAAAGTATGAAATGCCCATCATCATTCAATGGTTATTTCAGAGTAGTGATAGATGTTATAATGTGTATACCTCAGAACACATTAAATAACTTAGCTTTACCAATAAACTAAACAATATTCAGATATTTCGATATACTGTATATTATAGACATTGAACCTAAATTTCACCTTGTGTCAATGTGACCCAAAAAACTACCATAAAGTAATCATTTACATCAACATAAAGAGGATGCTTGATAAAAATCAAGTCCAGAGTGATACAGTCAGTTCTCTTTTAGAAGCTAGTGCAGTAATCATTTAGCTCAGTCAGAAATTGCATTTGTTATTCTACCAGCCATTTCAGGTTCATCACAAATGAAATCTGCTACTGATTTGATTATCCAAACAGGGAACTTTTTCCTGAAGAGATGAGTCAGAGGTCAAAGAAGTTGAAACTTACACTATTTTCTGATCACTTTTAACATACAAAGACAGCAAAACAATGGTCTTTTAAGATAAAATACAAACTCAAAGCTAAATCCAATTCATATTAACTTACTAAAAAATAAATTATCTTACATATTCTACTACCTAGTAAAGCATTCAAACAGGAAACTGGTGTTACAGTACGCCTTTTATAAAAAAAACTGAATACTCACCTAAGTAGCACCTCTTAATAAATGATCACCAGCAAAGGTAAATACTTCGTAATACTCACAATACCCCTTTTTTGATGGGTTAATTATAATTCCATCAACACCTAAAAGTCGTACTGGATCTACGCACAGATGTTAGGGTCACAGGATGAAATTCAAATGGTCAAGTACAAGTTTGCTTGTAGTGTTCAAGTGCAAACAGTGGTCTTTTAAGTATCTTTATTTCCCCAAGAATTCATAAACATTAAATAACCAGGTGATCACTCAGAAGTAAATATTTACTTACTTTTAAAAAAAGGTAAGAGCCCATTTACTAATTCCTGGATAGAATGTTACATACTGATATCAATTTATTTAAGAAATAGCTCTTGTCCTACAGGCATCCATGCAACAAGTCAACTGAGATAAAGACACTTACATATCATGAATAGGTTTAAACTTACTCGAGAATAAAGCAGCCATCTGACTGAGGTGTGTGAAATCCACCCCCATAAAGATGTGTCTCTCTCAGCTACTGTATTTAAACGGATAATGTCAGGGGTTTTAATCTCATCTAAAGGAAATACTGTAAGTACATCAAACTTGTAATTTTTATAAACTTTGGCTCTGATGCTCTTTTTAAAAAGATGTCTTTTTTATGTAACTAGTGACACCCACTTATCTACATTTATTTTACCTTTTGATGATTTACACTAATCCTAATTAAAAAGAAGCACAAGAGTAAGAACAAAATGTTTTCAAACAGCCTTTATTTTATTTTTTTCAGTTTGATACTGTCTGTCCAGTTAGCTTTCTGGAAAACAAAATTTAAGGAAATCATACGATTACATAATCACATATTTTGTTTTAGAGTTTAATAGCAGCTCTTAGCTTGGCCGACCTTCCTCTTGGGTTTGTTTGAACATCCTTGCCCTGGGGTGTGAGTACTTTTTTCTGTATGAAAGCCCACTTCGAGTTGGATTTTCCAGAGGGAAATTCTTGCCCATCATCTTTGGTGCAATTTTTTAGAGCCTGTCTTATCTTCTGCCTTGAGCTAAGATTGTACTTTTCTGTCATGTCTATTCCATGAAGAAAACGTTTGATAATACGATCTTCTAGTGAATGAAAGGAGAGGGCTACAAGGCGACCTCCAGGTTTTAGAAACTTCTCAGCTGTCTCCAGCCCTATTAAGAGTTCATGGAGCTCATCATTTACAAATATTCGCAAGCCTTGAAAAGTTTTGGTAGCAACATGTGTAGGTCTCTGAAGCAAGTCTTTTCGTGCATACAGTGCCGATACTGGAAAAGCACCTGTCAAATTTTAAAAGGTATATGTTAATATCTTATTGTTTCTATATTGCTATCCTGACATTAATCCCACTCATGCATGATGACTTTAAAGGAAAACATACTTACAACTGAACCCCAAGTGGTGAGCTTCCTTCTTTATAATATAACTTTAATTTCTGCTTTGAATTCACATTTCTAAAACTAAACCTTATTAAACTGAGCTAGCTGGCAGCTGAGTGTCGGGGTTTTTTTTCCAAGAATTTTTCACAGAAATTCCTTCCCCAAATGCTTCACAAAGTTAAAATGCAAAATGATGTCTGAAACCATGATAGGGAAAAATGAACGTGGGCTAGATAAATCTCACTTTACAGCTCAGTGTAGTCAATGTCAGTTCAGTATTTGTGGTGGTTTGTTTTATGCTTTTAAGGCAAAAAAAAAATAATATACAATGGATACAATTTTAACTGTTGCCTTCTAGATAATTATGCATTTCTTCACAGACCGAGGTAAGACAGAGACAATGTCTACCTGGTGATCAATATCTTTCAATGAATTACTTAAAGCTTAGTAGAGGCATCCTTGTTTGGGGATAAAAATTGTTGATCACTACACCTGTGTTTCTTCAAATGTGCACAAAAATACCTTGAGAAATTTAGAAAATGCAGTGACACTGTTGCTTTTTCATGTGCCTATAGAGCAGAAAGTGTCAAGGTGTGAGTTCTTGGACAAAAAAAATCACCAGATTAAATAATTTTTTCTAGCTCCCCAAAACTCCCTCCTCCTTTCTCCAAAATTCTTATGAATTATAGAAGTCTATGTAGAGACTGAAATTTTGATAGAAGCTTTAATATATCACTATTTAACGTATTTTAGGTTTGAATCTTCATTATCTGAGTATAGAGCAAAAATCCAGAGAAGCTAGATTTGATGGATCAAAGGCACTAAAGTGCAGGAGTCTTACAAGATCTCTGAAACCTAAGTAAATTTATAATCTATTATGTAAAGTGACTGCAGGAGTCTGGTAAAGATAAACTGAATGAATAATGCTAGTGCATAACTGGAAGGAATTATTTTTCTAAACAAGAGGGTCCATTAGAGATAAGGCAATACAGCTGGTATGTATGTATGAGAATGCCTTAATTCCATGCCAGTGCTAAACTACAACATAATAAAGCAATGGGTTTGAAGTAAATACAGTTCATAATCACGTAATTGATCTTCTACATAGTGGAGTACAAAAAGGGAACATGGTACTCTGAAACAAGTTGACCAAATTCACATTTACACAGGTGACTGAAAACAATTTAACAGACATATCATAATCCAGTATGTTGGCACAAAATAATTTATTAGTGGAGTTCTTGAGAGTTTTAAAAGGTAATATTTTCCTTCTGTCAGAAAACGTGTTTGGCAACACAGACACACAAGCAATCATCAGAGTACAGCAAAGGGAGAAGCCAATAATGAGATTTAAAAGTTCAATCATTATTAACAAAGTTATTATCATGTATGTGATATATCTAAGATGTATTTCTGCACACTCAATTTTATTAGTCTGATTGCTAACACTACTATTTTTCAATTGCAATACTGAATAGATAAACAAAAGAAATTAGATACTCAGACTACCGGTATAAATAGGTTATTGGAAGGTTCTTCCACTTGTGCTGCCACGGTTGCTGAGTGCTGGGTCTTCCTACAATAACCTTCTATAATAATTAACTGCCGCATTAATTTATTACTATGAATTAGTTTATCACACACTGAGGAAAAACAAATGAAAACTCAGATAAGTTCTGTAAGCATAATCTAACTTTACATGCCAAACTGGTAAAGAAATGCAGCCACTTCGCAGATTTATGCAACGAAGCCTCGCCCCCACCATGTTCCCCCTCCTTCACCCTCCAACTAAAACCAAAATCAAACCATTTCCAAGTTCAAAGACTTATCTGTCTGTCTTCAGACTAATAAACGTAATCTGTGGTAGTGATTTTTGTCACACTGGCCTTCATGTTTTCAGTAAAGGCAGTAGATTTTGATCTATGTTCCAGGGGTGAAAAATTTTCCTACTGTACTCTTAGTCTTCTGGTACAGTTAAATAAAAACCTAATTGTGCTTTCTGTTAAGGTACCAAATCTCTCACCCAGCCCCGCTCCAAGTACCATGACACTAAAAGAAAATCCTTCCTGGTAACAGGCTGTACAACATACAAAAATATAAAAAAAAAAAAATCTGTATGGGAAGTTTGTAAAATGAATTTCATTCATAAAACCACCACGCTTCTGGCTAGATGACTAGTTTGAAATCCCAGTGAGAGAAATTTTCATTTTTACTTTTGGGATGCCTTGATGCTACTTACGCTTTTAAAAATCTAATAGATTCACATGTTGAAAAGTATTGAAATTTTAAAGCTTGTGAATGAAATTAGCAACGTGCTGTGCCTGTCAATATGAACTATTAAAGTCCCCAGAGTGTAGGAGAGTGGGAGAGTTTAAAAATTAATTCAGATCGTGCACCTGTTTGCAGGAATCTGTCTGTTGAATTAGCATTGCTTTTAATAAGTTTCTGTGACGCAACTAATGTCCTTTTGTCTGGGCTCCCTCAGTAGAGTGTTCATTCTCATTCATCTGAAATTCAGGCAATATTACAAATTCCAAACTGATAATTAAAGTCTATAAATGTGAACCAATCTGAATGAGACTGGCTTTACCTGTTAAAGTTCTTATTAAACTTTTAAAATTATTTTAATACCTCATCATCAATTCCTTTCAAGTCCAAATGTTTACATGATCTCAAAATGATCTGTTAATAGATTACATACCTAAATAACACCAAGAAAAATTAAATTTTGAACAAAAACTAATAGATGGTAAGGTATATTACCCACTGAAAATAAATCAAAATAGATCGTCAGTTATACAGAAAGAGCATATTAAAATTACATTCTAAAAATTTAACTATTTTTTAATCAGTTTTCCTGAAAATCGAGTTTCCAAACAACCCAATGGGCTACAGCAAAAGCCATCAGGAATTGCTTTGTAATGGACTTCCACACATTTTTTCACAGACCTTCAGTTGAGAACTTCAGAATCTTCAGTATTTACAGAGCACTCATCACTGCACATAGGTGCGTGAAAATTATCAACAGTGATCTGAGTTCAGTTGTGCTTCAGGAAGAGATGATGCTCACACGACTGAACAGAAAACTCCTCCCTTTTCCCATGTAAACTCCATACTCCAGTTCTCATCTCTACCTCACAGAGATCTTTCTAAATGGATCAGAAGCCTTTTGAAAAACATTTAGAAAAACAAAAAAAAGATGAACTTTTTAAAGGTTTTTTTTGTAGGTCCTTATTCACTGGCACAATTATGATGTTACATATTATGATGTTAATGAACAGGATTTGAGTCTTACATTTTTCCTTGAAAATTTTCACTTGACAACACAAACATGAAGGTTCTTAATGTGAGCACAGTTTCTACCTAACAACATTTTGTTCAAGTTGTTTACAGTGAAGAGCAAGTAAGATGAAGTGTTTCAATAGTCGCTTCGGGCTGATCTAGTTGGCATTCACAAGGTGAAGCAAGCTATGTACTGCTTTACTTTTTGCTTCCTGTTTTTTTAAGCAGACAGAAGTGATCTGATTTCATTCATAATTGGAAACTGCCATGGTACTTCACCTCAAAATATTAATATGCAAAAATTTAAAACTAAGAGAAGTATATGACGTATCTGATATTTGAAGGTTTATCAATAGCTGGGATAAAGAATTCCCTAGGCTGTTGTCATTCTGTGTTTCAACTTGGCAAAATGATAAATCATTTCATGTAAAAATCTATTATTAAACTAATCATCAAACTACAATATAAAAAGTGGGGGTTTAAAAAAAAAAAAAAAAAAAAAAAGAAAAAGCTGACATCAGAGCAGAATAGGCAGGATTAGATCCTGCATGATTTCAAGTACAAACAGATCCCTCTGGGACTTTGGGGATTAATATTTTTCCTCCTCAGCCACTGTGAAGAATTAATGAGGGTACCTGCAACAATGCTTGCAAGCTGCTGAGTTCTGGTGATGGGGTATATGCTGCGTGCCTGAACGATGGCTGAAGCGATTTTCTTGGCGTGCCTCTCCTCCCCATATGTTCTCAGGATGGACGCAAGCGCCTGTTGATCTAAAGCATTCACAACATCAGCAGCGGTGGGCATGTCAGGGTACCTACGCACAAGAAGAGCCAATTAGTTCACTGACGTCAGTTTTCATTGACAAGAGGTGAAGCTTCATAGCATTGAGACATAAAGTCAAACACACACACCGCATACAAGTGTCTTTGGGGTTTTCAAATAAGAGACAGCAACCCTATGAAAACAGATATAGCTTGCACCTTTTAAATCCTTTTCTTGCTGCTTTAAATTGAATTTGTTCCTTAACATCAATTAGAACAGCTGAAACTTCCAAGCATTATCATAAAATATGCTTAGTGAGTTGACAAGAATAAATTCATTTCAGTATCATGTTAAAATGGAAATGCTGTGTGAATTTATTTAGTCAGCTTTAGAATATAAGCTTGCCCCTTATGGGTTCATTTTAGTCACCCTGCACCATAGAGGTTGTTTTCTAGTCAGAACTGATTTCAAGGATCTTTTCTTTCAGATTGCCTGCTATGAAAACAATTGCTCATGAAAATAATTTAACTTTACATAAAGGGCATAAGAATTTATATCCAAATACTGTTTTGAGGGAATAGAAATGACCTAATACTACAAATGACAGTAATTATTACAATATAAACAGTATAAGCCATTAATTTATTTTTTAAAAAATCTCTCGTCACTTTGTTATTGAAATAGTTCAAGGTCTTTTATGAACATTGTATATGGCTTTATCAATCAAAACATACAACCTACTTAATAAATTCTCTTCTACAAAAAGACATAAATGCGCAGAATATTTCTCAGGCATTTATTACTCTCCTGCAGTATCTTACAAAAGATAACAAAACTTAGAAATCAGAGGCAAGTAGTATCATAGCAACAACCATAGTGTAAGCCTTTTGTTATGCCACAGGTATCCTTTGTTCTTATGCTCCTGTTTCATGTATGGATTCTCATGATGCAAATATATGCCTGGAGTTCAGAGTCTTGAAATCTGAGGGTTGAATCCCAGGAGGATCACGTGAGCTTTTTACACAAAACTGGAAAAAGCAAGTATTGTGAAATTTGCTGTGTTAAGACTTAACATTAATGTGTTAAGGGAATTCCTTAGAAACGGAAGCTTCCCATCAGCTGCATGTAAGCAATGAAAGATCAAATGGCATTTCTTAAGACTACGGGTTCATCAAAACACAAAATAAAAGTTATCATTCTCCCAGTGATGCATTATGCAATTCCTGCCATCACCTATACAACAGAGATCTTTGGTTGCTGATGTAAAAAGGACAATGCTACAGAAATATATGAGGCTGTTTGAAGATGAAAACTGCTACGTAAGTAGAAATTATTATTTCACCATTGATTTTCATACTCTTGAATGTACTAAACACTAATTCTAATAATTTAAATACAGGTGATTTATTTAGTAATTGTTAATTTGATAATTAAGACTGATGTGCCTCCTACACAATGTGAAAGGAAGCTGATAATATTGCTAAGGAAAGCTTACAATAAGCCTGTGGGCATGGGAGACAACATTATACTAGTGTGTTAAAAGCAATGTTGCCCTCTGATTTCTATTGGCAGATATCATGGAAGAGAATTTATTTATTTATTTTATATTGCATTCCTTTTAGAGAGAAGTAACTGGGTCAGATGGTCATCGCAGAAAAGTAGGAGGTTGCTCCTTTCCTGAGGGAGCAACTGAACATGCTCAAGTGAAGGTTCCACAAATATTAAGTGTGGCAGAAAAGTGCAGAAAGGGGTTGTGAGCCTGCAGATCAAGTGCAGTCTGAGAAACTGCAGAAATAACAGGGAGAAGACAGGCCTCAAAGTGAGATGTCCCTGTGACTGTATATCATACACTCCAAAAATGTAACATTTTAATGGTATAGTTAACAAAAATATTACTGGTTTAATCACTTATCACTGGAACTTTCCTCTTATTTCAAAGAAGAAAAAGACGATAACCAGGGTTCCAAGTACTGAGATCGAAAAATGCTTTGTGGTAAAAGAAAGACAGTATATAATTCAATGACAAGAATCCTTCGCTTTAAGGGGAAATGCACAGGGGTTACTGAACACACAGTTTTTGAGTTTCAAGGGGAAATATTTTTATTAACAGGTACCTGTCACTATCCATCCTCATGTCCAAAGGTCCATCCTTCTGCAGGGAAAAACCTCTCTCTGGTGTATCAAATTGCATAGAAGAACAGCCAACATCGAAGAGAACTCCATCTAGAGTCCCTGGCTCAACTCCAGAGGAGATTAACAAAGCCTCTGACTGGCTAAACTGTCCTAGAAGAGGTTGAATCTGTTTTCTGTAAGAAAATAACAAATAAATAGCCTCAATTTTAATTATAACAGTGCACTGTCTTCCCCTTGTATAGCAGAAATTAGATAGTAGCACTCACTTGTCTCAGAAGCAATAGGGTTATTCCCAAAGTAGTAGTTTAAGTATCTTTCATATGTCAACACTGAGAACTGGTCCAACCCACCCATAAGCAACTACTTAAGCTTTAACTCTTTACTCTCTTCCTGCTTGATCTCAAAGAAATGGAAACCTGACTAAAATTTCATTTTTTCACCACACAGGAACTCAAAAGGACACCATTCACAATCAGAGGGAATGTCCTGACCACAAGGTACCAGCTGTGCTGAGCAGGGCCCTTAGTCTAGTGAGGCCAAAGTGCAGAAAAAATGAACAGTTCTTGGCCCCAAAGGAGAAGCAGACAAGGTGGAACACAACTCCACAGCCTTGAGGTTAATAAAAATAATTGGGCAAATGAGGTGCACTGCATCATAAGCAGATAAAATTCAGTGTAGTTTCAATTCAGGCACTTAATCACTGGGGAGAGTAGAGTTTTACATGCATTTTTGTGCTAAGCATTCTTCTCTCTTAAATCTAAGATGGTGCTTGCCTAATATTCCCATACTGGGAAGGGCCAGGGAGAAGACGACACATCTCTGAGGTGTCCAATGCTTTCTTGGGTGTCTAAACCTGGACTTTTGATTTTTGCTTGTATATAAGATGTCTGATGATTAAATAATTTATTTTATCTATCTCTCAAAACCTCAGTGAATTTCACAGATTTAAAAAGATTAACCAACATGCTGCTGTATTTTTAATCAGTACCTGCAAAACACAATACATTTCTGCCTCTAGAAAGAAACCACTGCCTCCACCTCTGAGTTTTGATTATACGTTGGATAACTGCTCTTCAATCCCATTAATTAACATTCAAATTATTAGAAGGTCCACTAGGTTAACTCATATAATTTTGTCTAAGTTACCTGGGCAGCAGTGAATGGATGGAGAGAGCAACTCCTTTAACTATTTCTGCTACAATAGGACATCTGTCCACATATCTTTTGACACTTCAGCATTAGAGTAATTTTGAAAAAAAAAAACCCAACCAACAAAACAAACAAAAACTTGTCACAATATCATCTTAAAGTCTAATCCTGCTTTCAGGTCAGTTGAACATGAAGACAATTGGCACTCTGACACAATTTAGTCAACTCCAGTGGCTACAGCTCTAAAAGAGCTTACTAACAGGGAATCAGAACCATCAGAACCTTTTTTGCACCCATATAACTGGATTCAGAAAATGCTACAAAGATAAACAACAACAACAACAAAAAAAAAAAGCAGAAAAAGTTCCATTAAAAGGAGTAAGTTATGAATGCAAACATATGGAATAAAAGTTAGCTTCAGAACGGTATCCTCATTAGAACAGAATAACTCAACCTATTTAACATAGCACAAAAACCTGGAAATACCTTGAATGAACAGATTTCATGAGGGGTATCATGATCACACATATGCATTTTTGAACTGATTACTGTCCAGCACATAATTAAATACAACTATTCAGCCTAATAAGAATTGTCAGTTCCTGAAAAGCACAATGATCCACTTAACATAATATTTAAAACTATTTAAGCTATATAGTTATAGCTTTGAGATTGTATTTGCCCTCAATATAATGAGGGCAATTTTCTTGAATATCTGTACCACTTTGTCCAACTGGGCAGTATTTCTAGCTTTACAACCTCTGTAAAATAATTAATTAATTCTGTATGTAGGAGATGAAAATAAATGAGATCTGGGGAAAAATTATCAATTGCCATTGTCTAGTTCCCCCAGCAGACAGTAATCCATGTCAGAAGCTATGAACTAGTGCTTTACTGTGCTACACACCAATGTGAAAAAATAATTCTGAAATATATTTATAAATTTCTAGAAATGTGTTTCATTAAAGAAGTCATAAGTATGAAGAAGGCTAAGAAGTTTGGGACAGCGGACTTTGATTTGTGATCTGCCAATCCTTTGTGATTAGGAGAAGGTAATTAAAAAAATAAGTATATTTGAAGTAAGTCAAAATTTACTCTTTGGAAAATGTTTAGAGTGTGCAAATACAAAAAGACTGAAAAAGAATTAGATTGACATTTTGATGTCAGCCTTTCAGCTGTGTGCAATTATAGCTTCTGTATATAACTTGTTTGCTATACACAGCAGTTTGTGTATCAATAGTGGATACAGGCGTCTTGGTGAATATAAATTTTCACTGAAAACAGATGCTTTTTATGAGATAATAACAACTATATTAAAACGTTCAGCCCAGCTCTCTGAATTCCTCTTTCTTTGTGGACAAGAAGAAATAATTTTAAGCATCTTTGGTATCTTATGCTTTTCAATTAATCAAACCAAGTACACAGCTATGAAAGATTTATTACCTTATGAAAAGAAATACAAATATCAACTCTTTTTGACAGGATAGTAACACTGATGATAGTGATGACAATGACTAATCTATTAGATTATGAGTATGACACATTTATTTAAAGAAAAATATTTTACCAAGTATTCAGAAGGATTTATTAGAATATAAGAAAACTCTTCCCCTGTCTACTGTTCTTTATGCCTATGTTTAAATAACTGCCTGTAACACACATGATTTTCCCTAAAAATGCTTAATCTAGCTTCAATTCCTTCTGTCTTCAGATTTTTGCTTACATCACCTGTAAATCCTGTTTCCAGAATGACCTCAAATAAATAATAAAAAACCGCGTACCCTATGCTAAAAATGTTTATTTCTTATAGTCACATGCCTTCTGCTCTGCCCAGGTATGTAGCAATTCTTTTCACTTTTTCAGTGTTCCAATGTTGGTTTTGGGCATTAGAGGATTTGTGTTCCATGATCATACTTACCTAGTGCCAAAATCTGTCTATTACCCTTTGTGTCTTAATATATTTCAAAAACAGTGCTTAGCGGAAAAAGCAGGAAAGGTAAACCAAGGAACATACCTAAGTACCAAATAAAACAGCCAAGCATATAGTTCAAAAAAGCCTGAGAAGAGAGAGCATATCAAAAACATTACAGACCAAGACTGAATGGGGGTTTTAGGCAGGTCTTGGGGATACCATCAAAAGTTGTTATGACTAGAGACGGTCACATAGAGAGCATTTTTATCATTTAGGTGATCTTTAAAGGTTACAATCTAACTAAATCCAATTATCTTGCTTAACAGAAAGTATTTAAACTTAGTATTTGAACAGCACTTTACGTATTCAGAATATTTTAGAAACATAAAACAACTGTGAAGAGCTTTTAGCCCCTCTCTTATAAATGGAGAAATAAGATTTGCAGATTTTAATACTGAATGCCTTGAAGACACCTGTGTAGAAAGCTAAGACAACTTCAGAGATTGTGGTCTGAGGATGTAAGAAAGCAGACAATACCTGTCATATGTGTAGTTCTCATTTGGCATGCGTGTGTATGTGATAACAGCATGGTAATTTTTGATAAATTTCCAACTGCTACAGTCAAGTAGCCTCTAACTTCTAAAAATATTCAACATGCTCAGTCCCTCTTTATTAATTTTGACATTCTCCAAGAAAAAAATATTCAGTATTTTAAAACAACACTGGGAACATGTACAACATAGAAAATTTTGAAAATAATAAAAACTTATTTCAGCTGTTATATATGTTGTTGGGGCCTTAGTAGATTTTACTGAGCAACAACCTCAAGAACTTGCAGAATTCTTGTACTGTTTGCTGCAGTTGGAAAGTAACACAAAACCTTGGGTTCAGGACCTTTTGTTCAGGTCGTAACACAGTATTTTATTATATTATACTATGACACATAGCATGATGATTCTGATAGACGACACTTCTCAATTACATGAAAGAACAGAATGAGAAAGAGTTTGAAGTCTCCTAACGTATTTCAAGCTCTTCTGCTTTCAGTTAACCTCTGGTATTCTACAACACTTTGTAAATATATTTCTTTTTTATTTTACTCAACTGAGAGGGATTCACAAAGGAAAAAAATCATGAACATAGCTTCTACGAAACAAACAGAATCTTTTCCCTTATCTAGTTTCTCTCTGTTGTCACAGAGGTTGCTGTGACATCAATTGTTCAAGTAATTTCACAGAAAAGTACAATTACACTTTCATGGTGCTTCAGCATTTTTTATGTGTATATAACAATACTTGCTCTTGATCTTTCACCGTTGCTCCCCTTACAAATTCTATGTATGAATACACAGAAAGTCAGGAAGTGATGATCCCTTGTCAACAACGAAAATTACCTTCTACTCAATCAGAATAAATGTTCCTTTGAGACAACTGGAAAAAAAAAAAAGTTTTTCAGGTAACTCTTGCCAATGCACATCGAAACAGGAGACCAATCTGGTGCTTTGTTTGCTTCAGTAACTCCAATAAGACTGCCAACTGGGGTGCCAATTAGCACCAGCTGTAATGAGGACATGGGTACAGGCCTGGTTTGATGTCATTGGCTCACTTCACCTAGGTCAATCAGCAGCCTTCAGATAACTCTGACTTCACTCACAGCTGCACTGTGTCAGGCACACCTAGAAGCAAACCACAAAGTAGTCCAGTCATAAATCCCTGGAACTTTCAGCATCCTACCTGGATATTGTTGTGAGCATTACTCTGACTCAGTGCAACACCCCTCTCAGAAAAAGTATCTGACTATTCTGTAAAAAATTTTAAATGACCTTCGACAAACGGGAAATGTGCACTATATTCATGTTTGAAAAAAAAAAAAAATATAACATCTATCAACTTATAAACAAATCTTTTCATTACGTTCCTAGCTTTATAAAAAATTAATTACAGCTCTGGAAAAAGCCTATATATCTACCTGAGAACGAACAGTTCAGCTGAGGCTGGTCAACTTGAGAACTAACAGTTCAAGTCTCAGCCACTGATTAACACAGACCTGAAAACAGGAAGAAGCATATGTAAAAAGCAATTTCCATAAAATCAAGTAACTTCCTACTTTCAA